TACAGTCATCATCCAAAGTTGGATATTATAGAGCCTTAAAAGTTGGAAAATTCAGCAGCAGAGGAGTTTGCTATGAAGATGGCCGAACTTCAAGCAACCATGAAGATTCACCTAAAAAAGGCTCAACAATGTTATAAGCTACTGGCAGATGAATTGAAGGAGGAACATCCTCTATTCTAAGTTGGTGACAAAGTGTGGCTTCTTTAGCATAATATAAAAATCAATAGGTCATGTAATAAGTTGAACTATCAAAGGCTAGGGCCATTTATGATTCAGAAACAAATCAATAATATAACTTATTGCTTGGAATTACCTTTATCCATGAAGATTCATTTAGTCTTTTATGTTTCACTTTTGAAAAAAAATAAAGAATCAAATATATCATATTAAAGATAACCACCATCTCCTATGATTGAAATCAATGATCATGTTGAATTTGAGGTAGAAGAGGTATTAGATTCAAGGATAAGACATGGAAGGCTTAAATATCTAGTTCATTGGTACGGATATAATATCAACGATCATACATAGGAATCAGTTGGCAACCTTGTAAATGTACAAATGATGGTTCAAAAGTTCCATCAACAACATTCATTCAGAGCAAAAGCTGCAAAATGAAGAACAATAGCTTAGTAAGATGGCTTCATCATGAAGATTCTTAGTTCTTGGCCTCATAAAGAAAGAGAGGATATAGCCTCTAAAAAGGTAATTTTTTCAAATGTTTAGAATGGTATAAGTCAGTAGTTCAAGTTTACGACCATAGCCTATTTATATTCTTTTGGTCTTGTTTACTTTATATGATATGGATAGTCAAGAGATAGATACCATGCCGGTCATACCATCTCAACCAAGTAGCTTGCGGAGATGACCTTGAGATAAAAAGTTGCTTAAACTAGGAAGACGTCAAAAGACATCTAGTAATAGGTTGCTGGTAATTGAGTTTGAAGTAGAACCTACCCATGAAGGACATCTATAAGGAATGTTTGCAAGACAATTCTATAACAAAGATATGAAAGTTCATGCTTGATCATAAGTAAAAGGCTTGAGGCACTATCAATGGCTACAAGGGCCTATGAACCATTTTCTTTGTGAAAAACAACTATAATATATAGTAGATATTATGTAATAGATCTTCAACTTCTTGTGCATATACTCACTTGTAGCAACATTGCTTCTTAGAAATCTCAAAGCTAGAAGAGGAGGTGATGTCACTGACATACAATTGAAGAAGATTCAAGAAGTTTTTAGGAGGTTCTAGAAGATTCTTGTAGATCCTAGAAGGTTCCAAAAGGTTCCAATAGATTCTAAAAAAGTTTTGAAAGGTCATAAGAGACCCTAGAAGGTTTTAGAAGGCTTTAGATGATTTAGAAAGTTGTCAAAGAAGAATCTTAGGCTTGCTTTGTTCTCAAGCCTCATAAAAACTTTTCAAGAAGCTTCCTAGGATCTAATATATATAAGAGTCGAGACTGAGGAGATCCTCAGTCTCGACAACTCACTTCTTGTAGTCTAGCTAGGACTTTCTTGCCTTAAATCCAGTTATTGTTCTAATGACAAGCTAACTCTATTTCTTGGTCTTGAATCCTTGTCTTATATATGGTCCCTAATAACGCTCATATAAAAAACTTGCTATGCAAGTTGAGATATGTATCATGCAAAGTCAACATGTTTTTAGAGGTCCTATAGAACGTTAATACATAGATCTTAAGTAGATAATATATATAGGGGGAAGAGTAAAGCCTTCTTCACTTTTTTCAATTCTTTTTTTGCTTCTAGTCTAGTTTCAAGAGTCTTTAGTTTCCTTATCTTTTGGCAATAGCCATTCCAATTTTCTTTTTAATACACATATTTCTCTATTTTTATTTTGTCATATTTTTTTGAAAGAGCTTCATTTGATTATTTGCTTTCATCAAGTTTTTATCCTTGACATATTGTCAAGGTCTTTCTATAAGGTCTTAAACTCACAATCTTAATAATTAAGAACCTAACAAATAATATTAGAAATCTATAAGGTTAAAATCAGCACTTTTTCATGCCAAAATATAAGTTTAGATCTTACAAACCCTAACATTAGTAAATACCATAAAATCTATTCCACACAAGTACAACCACTAGAGAATGACATCAACTTACTTGAATAGTATAACAAAGTGTGTATGGGCCTATAATCTATTGAAAAAATATATAAATAAGATACAAGTAGAAATCAGAATTATTGCACAAAAAAGAAGTGTGGAATGAAATGCCTTTGTCTTCCAACATCTTTTATTTATAGGAAGAATTTACATCTATTGTAGTTAAACTTCATCTATAATCATCTTCATCCATCCAATTTAATCCTAGATTCTTCTTAACCTATCCACCACATCAAACCTTAGTCACTATATTAATAAGTTACCTTCATTTTTTTTTATTATTCTTTGACCATTAGCAATTTATTTAAGGTAATTGTATCTTATTCTTATTTTAACATACCCAAAGTAATTGTATCTTATTCTTATTTTAACATACCCAAAGTAATTGTATCTTATTCTTATTTTATTAATAAAATGTTTTTCTACTGATAGCTTAATATTTTTTGTACTTGAGAACTATGAAGGTAAAGGTATCTGAATTTGTTTTGCTGCTCTATCTTTAGCAACATTCCTAATCGATTGATATTTTTTAAGACTTTTCGGGCATGTCTAACACATCTCAACTTTAGAAGATGGGATTATGGGCCTGAATTGGTCTTTCGTCTCTATTTTTCTCTCGATTAAATCAAAACCTGTTGAAGACCAGCGTGACATGTGTTGCAGCTTTTTATTTCCAGGTAGCAACGCTTATTGTGAACCGTGGCTGTACTTTGGGAAGCGATGATTTCAGCTCCACCACTGTCCTGTCCTGCTTCCTTTACCAGGGTGGACAACAATGAAAACATGAACACCACTCTTTTGGTTGTAGACCTCTTCTCTGTTTTTCTCACCAGCTATGTGAGGTGACGGTAAGTATGGTTTCACGCTCTAACTTTCCATTTGTGCAAGTTCAGATGTAAGTCACCGATTTCATATCTTCGCATCGCTACGGGTTGGTTTGTTCATGGGCAACAGTTGTGTAGCTACAGATTCAGACACAGATGGTAGTGAGCTTCACAGGTGAATCCAAATCATGCAATCCACAATCGAGATTGTAAGCAAGAGATTCTGAATCGACATAATCAAGTACATAGATGACTTGATCAGAGCATTTGACCCTTGAGAGGCTCCTTGATCCCGGTGGGCTCAAGTTCTAACCAAGATGCACAGAGTCTCATCGACATCATCTCCACTTTATGACAATGCAGTCTCCAGCAATTGCTGTTGCAATACTACGTGAGAGAGGGTCTGGCTGTGAAAATTCCCACTCTGAACCTCTTAACCTGAAATTATCTGCCACCTATCCTTCCAGTACAGGCACTTGTTTCTCTACGACCATCCCTCTCCACTACAAATGGCCCACCGTTGTAGCTTTGTGGCGCGCTGCACTGAGCAGTTGACGTCATTAATTCAACCATTCACTCTCTCAGGATTTCGGAGTTGGCTGCTACCAAGATGGTATGTGCATCATCATTGGGAGATTGCTCGGAATTAAAGGATATTAGATTCGCTAAGGCAGCAACAGCAGCCTCCAGTCTCCATAGCGAGCCGTTCGACGACGTTTAGAATGGAGGAATATTTTTGAGGAATTGAAACTTATCCAGAAGGCTGGGATCTAGTCGGTAAAAATTTCAGTATCCGTAGCTTTCCACTTGGTAACAAGATGGAGCACACCATCTGATTGACTAAAAGTGGGTTTGATTTTTATGGTTTCCACTTTCGAAAAAGTCCTTCCCTCAACAAAATGAATGTGATACTGAATATAAAATGTCAAAGATCATTTTGATTGGATGTAAGAGCATCTGAGTCATTAAAAAGGAGTGACAATGAGGAGCAGCATGTTGATGAATTCTTCACCACGGAAGCCTAGTTTTAGGGGCATATACCTTCTAGGTAGCTTTTTTTCTACTAAGTAAAGTAGCTTTGTAATTCTTTTGTTCTATGGCCTTTTAAAGTTTTCTTTTGGGTGTAAAGACCCTTTTAAAGATATTTTTAAAAATATTTAAAATTCCTAGATAAAGTCTTAATGTTAAATTTTTTTAAAAAACAAAATATACAATTCTAAAACAATTAATATAAATTTTATTTTTGAGTTGAATAAAAAAGAAGAGATAGAACTACTCAATTTTTTATAAGAGTTATAAAAGGTATTGTCTTCTACTTTTGCAAGATACTACAAAAATACCGTAAGATCTATTTTATCTTAAATTGTATCCAAATTATTATTACCAAAGTTTTATAGTTGATTACTGATATAAATTGATAGTAAACATCTACCAATAATATCAATTAAATCCTAATAGAAGTACTTAAGAAATTGTCCTTTGTAACAGTTTCAAATTTCAATAAAAAAAAAAAAAAAAAAAAAAAAAAAAGAGCTAAGTAACTATTGTGGATCTTAATAACATTTAATGCATAGACCATTTTAGAAGAAAATCTCTTCATGTCATGATGTTATTTCAAAACTAATTAAGTTATAGTTTAAAATGATTATAAACTTGTAAAAATGGTGTATTCTGGAATAGTGACCTTGCCAAGAACAATTAGGCTTGCCACAAAAATAACCATGTAAAATGTTATAAAAGCTAACTAATCAAGTCAAAGATATGATATAGTAAGTTAAAAATAATAATAATAATAATAATGGATTGAATATACACAACTTTGAAAATACATTACATGTTGTCAACATAAAATCTGGTCTTATTTAAAGAATCAATGTAGCAATGCAATCACAAGAAATAAATTAGAAAAGAAGTCTAGTAAAAAAATTGCAATAAAAATTACAAGGGTCAAAACAAATATTGTTCTATCTCTCTTTCAGTTGCAACCAGATTGACAAGGTCTCAATTTCATCGGACATATTGCACTGCATTTACTATAAATAAATAAAATAAATAAATAAATAATCATATTCACTGATTGTGCTACAATCTGGCTGGCAAGTGCAACATTAGGAAGTTTCAGTGCGTAATTACTAGGAATTAGGGTTTAAGATTAACCAGTCCTTCAATTAATTTTTCCCCTGTAATTTCTTTTGAGTCACTGCTAGTTGCTCGTCACAAGCTTCAACTTCGGTGCAAAACGGTGGTCGCACACTTCAACTCTTTAGTACAGCTTTGTGCATGTTTGTGGCCTCATTTCGAAACTTAGTATGCAAAGTGAAGGAATGACGTTGTGTATTCAGATGTGAGGTCAGAATGTGGAAACGCAAGTTGTGTATTCAGAGCAACGAACGTCATTCACACCACTGGGGAGCTGTTGCGGCTGTTTGCTGCTTCCATGACCTTGGCTTTTTGTGATTGCTAGGAGATTGTGGAGTCGTCGTCGTTAGGAAGGCTACGGTGTTTACCCAAAATCATGCAGCAAATTAGAAGGAGCTTTGACCCACTGCTCCACTTGCCCGAGAAGCTGTAAGAGACGTTCTTACATTCGTCAGCTAATTGAGAGGTAGAACTGTTGCTGCTTGCTCGCTGCCATTGCTCGCAGCTGTAACCCAGTGACAGACCCACGTTCCCGTATGCACTGCACACACACAGACTCAATGTTGATTGGTGTCATTGAGTGTCATACGAATCACAGGCATTCACATTGTTAACAACATCATCACAGAATAATGGAACTATCACTATTATCAGGAATTCGTAACAGAAGTAACGACCCCAGCTACTGGTTCTTTCATTCTTGTTTGCACTACGGATACTGCTGTCGGCTGTGAGGTGCTAAGTTCCTGACAGATAGCCATTCTGGACTCATGCCACCATAGAATTGCGAGTAAGAAATCAACAGCAACGACATGCTAATTGCTTTCGGAAAAACCAACCTGATGACTTCGAAGACGATGTTGAAAACGGAGTAGTTCAGAGGATCAGAGTTAGTGTTGCGCATTTCCAAAGTGCAGACGAGGAAGACAAGGACGAAGAGAGACGCGGAATCCCTCGTCAGAAGCTGTTTATACTGTGTCGATAATCTGTTGTCATCTGCGCCATCTGCAGTACTTTTATGCTTTTCTGGATCGCACAGGTCGGAGGTACTAAATAGGTGAAGCTGGTTGAAGTCGGTGTGCGTCAGTCGCGTGTGTTGACGTGACAGGTATACAGGATAAACTGCAATGCACCTACCAATGGCAGAACATGACAGACTTCTTAGCTGAATACCTTGTAACATCTGACAGGTGCACGACTCGACTCTAGAATCGAAGGTTAGCAAGAAGATCACAAGATCGGAGATCACAGCGATGATAGAGGAAACTTACATCATTGCAGAGTAGAGGACAAGCAGAGACGGAGACAAAGTGCTTAATGTCAGAACGTTCATTCCAGAACTGCGTGTGTTTAGCGACTGAAAGAGCCCATCCATCAGCTTGATCCATGCACTTCGATCAGGCAGGGCTGCCAAAGCGGCCGACTTCCACTCCAATGCGCAAAACGCAATCAGGTCCACCGTATTGAACCCCAAAACAGTGGCAATTATCCATAGGCTTTGCATGTGAGGAAATAGGTGCGTGGAACATCGGCGCGGATATCGAAGTAAAAAGTTGTATACATCTTTCTGAGGATCATCGGTGCGCTTCAAGGTGCGAAGCCCCCAGATTATGAATCGCAAGATGGGCGGAAAGAGGGTGTTCCCTCCGAGGAAAAGAACCGTAAGAGAGACAAGCACGAGGGAGGACGTCGCAAACGGTACAAAATTCTCGTCGAGCGGGGACGATCCCGTGTTAGAGAACGCGGAGATGGACATAAAGATGGCGGCCAGGGTTGGATTGATACCTTGGGCGTCGAATAGCGAGCGGATCTTTGACGCTTCTTTGCTATTGAAGCTGTTGTTCCAGACGACAGCGAGGAATCCAAAAGTCAAGAGGACGACGATGTAGGTTGGAATTATCCAGGACAACGATCGAAGCGCTTGGTCCTCTAGCCATCTGGCAATTCGAAGGTCATCCGATTGCTGCGCTACTTCTTGCTCATCAGATAAATCATTGAAACGGTTTGCAATGTTGATTACTACCGGATCTGAATTAATATGTGGGTGTCTTCCAAACCCAGTACCAGAGTCATGGCTTTGAGCATCTACTTCAGCAACGATCTGCAGAGTGTGGTTCGATATGGGACTCATACCTGTGGCCCTCGAATGATGGCAGTCAGAAGAGTTGTAAGATGAGAGTTGTGAAGATGATACATTGGCAGCGTTGGACGTATCTAGAGCTCGGTTGTAGCGTAAGATGCGTAATCGGCGGACGTAAATAGGGAGGAGCGAGACGAAGACGCTGCTTCCGAGGAGCATGAGCACCATCAAGGTAAACAATCCTGTAGTGTTGAAGTCCCGAAGCAGCACGCTAGTGAGCCCGGTAGTAGTGACCATTGAAACTACAGTGAAAATGCAGTCCAGGAATGAAATCGAATTTCGCTCTCTGCACCACCACAAGGACATCGTTCCGACAATTGTCAAAACACCGTAATATGCTACATGCAGCCAGAAGAAGGTATGGGAACCACATACTATCCTCTTTAGCCTTTGTTTGCTGCTCTCCACCCTACGACGCATCATATCTGAATTAAACGGAGATTTGATCCATGACATGCTTAAACTCTGCATGAACTCCCGAGGAGTCTTGAACCTTTTTGAATGACCGATGTTGCTTGCTGAATTACTGTTCCGTGGATGAGGTGGTGCTTCGGTCAGCTGCTGCCCATCTGTCAAGGTTTTAGATCTGAGTGATGAAGAATACGAGAGCTCAAGGTTCCGCTATTTGAAATATGGATGAACGACTGTGACCAGCATACTCATGGTCTAGCAATCTACTCATGCAATCATCCTGACTCACGTACTTAGCCACAGATTGCGAAGTAGGTGACCCCTTGCTTCCTGCACTGTCGGCCACTCAACGCCAAGTCTCGAAGGTATGCATGGTGGATATGATAACAGTTCACATGTACTCGAATAGCAAGAAATAGATGCTTGTATTCGAGATGCGCAAGCACTACTGCCTGAAAAATTAACAATGCAATTTAGGCATATCATGGAGGTCAGAGGTGGGGGGGGGGGGGGGATTTGGTGAAGCATGAGTCGAATGAACTCGATGCTGCAGTTGATTTCAAGTATAAGATTCTTCCAGGATGATCTATTCCAGACAAGGCATTGCAGAAACATCCGTGCAAATTGCGTGGCGGGTAAAGCGTGCTGCCCAGCACATGAATCCGACCGAAAGGCAGCTAATGCGCCGGACAACAAGGCGACGGTGTTTCACGTAGGCACATGTGAGGCGCATGAAGAACCTCATGAACAACGTCCCGAACTCACAGCTGCTCAATGTACAGCCATCCCTACCTGGCGAGGCCCCAGCTCTTCCCAAATCCATGACAGTACCAAGCTCTATAGAACATCGTCTCCACACACTTCACTTGGCAATCAATCACGCTGCAAGACGACCCCACCCATGGCTTCACAACGCTGACCACGGTCACGGTCAATCGTCCCATTGCTATGGACCCACACAACCATCAGCAATAATCTCACTTGAGCAATTATGCATTCCAACCTCCTGTCCATTACAACCCTTGATGATATGTTCAAGTTCGGCTGGTGTATTATTCCTTGTACGTAACCCAACTGCCCCCCTTCGCAGTCGGGGCAAACCCATTTTTTATCCCTTCAAAAACACTGTCTCAGGTCCAATCAAAAGATTTCCTGCGTCGCCTTCGCCGTGCCGCCGTCTCAACCTCGTACAACGTCCGTGACAACTCTTTTGCGGTGTTTGACATTTACCTGGCCTCTCCAGTGCGAGGTATATCAAACAACTACCGGGTCACCTCTGTACTCATGTACTTAAACCGACTTCCGTCACATCTCCCCTACTCCCCTGGTTTCTAGACAAAGTCGAGCAAAGTCAAAAGAGTAAAGCTTCGAAGCAGTAAGATGCCTCAAGACTCTAAGCCTTAAACTTCCCTGTCAGAACATTTCCTGCAGCGTAGCGTCGGAGCAGAGAACAGACCCAACAACAAAGCAGAGTTTTGCAGGTAATAGGAAACAAAAATACAACAACAATAACCTGGACTCATCAATCCAGAAGTTGATCTAATGGCAGTCCTGGCAAAATTGTGTCGTAGTAGCTGTGCAACCTAGAGATTCAAAAATCAAAATGGGTTACTTTGGAGTCCACTGATAGTGCATGGCTCTGGCTCTTCAAAAGAAAGGTAAGGGATGTCTGGATTATGGTTGGGCTTTCTCCCTCCATCACAAACAAAAATCAAGCTCCAGAAGTGGTCACGTATTGGCAAATCTTGACACTTGTGGTTCAAGACTTACTCACACGGTCTCCAAAATCTTTTTTCATGCAATATAGAGCCGGTCCATCTGGTGGGACTCTGATCACGGCCTCATTGGTCCAATTACTCCCTCCTGAAAGGCAGCTTTATTACTCAAAAAATGAATGTATTGCATGTACAATATATATAACTAGAAAGCTGGAGGAATTTTGAGCTTTGACGAGGATAAAGGAAAAGGCCTTTGGAAGAAGAAACATTTCACTAGAATATTCTTTCCTCAACTGTACAAAGTTGTAGATCCAGCCTTCCAAAACCAAAATTCATAGACCAAGTCCCCCATAAGGAATGAGGCCATCTAAATGTGGATGATTTGGCAAAGAGGCATTGCTATAAATGTATGGAGGGCACAAGGCTGCACGTGAGACTTTCTTTTGTGTCAATTATACTTCCCACAACTTCCAAAGATTGTACTAAGTAGATTACATAGGTTTTGGACTTTAGACAAGCCAAAAGAATTCGGGATTGTGCAACTTCATTCATACACAAGATGACTTTTCAAAAGAACAAGCCATCTTTCCAGCACAACTGCCTTTAAAATTCAAAAAATCCAACATGTGGTTGTTAATAGATAGCCTATGTAATTGACACATTTGTGCTTGATGAAAGGCCAAAAGTTTTGACAATATTATGTGGAGTGACTTTAAGGAAAAGGAAATTATTCGGATGAGATTACAAGGGTGGAGCAAGATTGCATATTAAAACAAGAAGGAAAAAACAAAACAAAACAAAACAAATAAACAACCACATCTTAATATTAATTTCTTGTTTAGATAGATAGCTTGGAAAATCCAAGGGCTTAGAAAAGGACACATAATCAAATGGAACTCTAAGCTTGTGCTTAACCAATTCATAAAACAAAACCTTTTAAGAATGAAAAACAAAACAAAACAAAACAAAAAAATACATCTCAAAGTCAATTTCTTGTGAAGATGGATGACTTGCAAAATTTGAAGGCTTAGAGAAGGGCACACAATCAAAGGAAATTTAAGCCTGTGCTCAGTCAGATCATAGTATACAACCTCCCAACACATTAGTTTGCACACAATAAGTAGTGCCATTTTTTATATATATTACAAAAGCCCCAACTTCTGTGCATTCAAGAGAGTATTAGGAAATTTGTAGCTCATATTCTTGAGGTGATGGATCCACTCTGAACATGCCAAAAAGATAAACAAACATACATAGTCAAAATAAACACTTGGAATTAACATTAAAAAAGAATGTAATGTATCACAGGAGACTGGACAGAGTGATGTTAAAGACTGGTTGTTCAATTGAGGAAGGGTCAACAGCAAACTGAACTCTTTGCACAGATGTGGGTGGATGTGGACAAATGTTGATGAGGTTGTGTGATGCTTTAGAGGCACTCTTTACACTAATTTTAGAGTTAAAATTTGACTTTAAATTCATTATTTTTCATGGGGACGGAAATAAATAAAGAAATAAGAAAAATAGTGTGCCTTGTTATATTTTTTAATTTCTTTCTTGTATAGATTTCTACAAGAACCTATATATTGTGATTGTGTTTGGAGAGAGCTCTTCAATTTATTTAAAGTCAAATAAGATGGATTTTGAATTAATAAAAATTTAAATAAAATTTAAATAATTTTAATTAATTTTCTCCCAAAATTTGATCAAAATGATGGACATAGAACTCACTTCACATTTTGCTAAAAAATATGAGGTATCAAAATGGTGATTGAGGGTCAAAAAAACTTTAAAACTGAAATTGATCACCAATCTGTATTAGCTTTATTAAATAAATGATACAGATAGATTGATGATGACAATAATATGTATACATAAATTGAGGGGAACATGAAGTTGATAACTAGAATTCAAGCAAAAAAAACTATATATATATATATATATATATGAAGAAGTATTGCAAAGAGAAGTAGATGAGAAGGCAAAGAGACAAATATGATGGAGCATTTTATAGTTCTCTAAGTTATTGATTACATAGATGTTGATGATGATACCAATACTATTTTCTTACACTGAATATATACAAGATGCCAAAATCATGTAGTCATTCATTTCAAATACAATGCAAATATATGTATATATTTGCGTGATATATATATACATATATATATATATATATATATTTGAATCATGAAACATACTTAATTACAAATAAAAACTAAAACTAGTGCAAGAACTTATGAAAATTGAACACACCTCCACTAATTTCAAATAGACCAATCTTAGAGGTCTTAATATTTTTCTTAAAAACAACACATACATACATACATACATACATATATATATATATATATATATAGACATAATGGGAGCAGACAAAAGCCATGACAAGGCCCACTTCTCACAAGGCTCAAAGGAGAGTGAAACTCAGAGCCAGAGCTTGAGCAGTGACTGAACATTGAGGAAACCCGGTGTATGAATCCCCAGAATGTGGGCTTCAATGGCATGGCCTGTAAGCATGAGAGAGACCCAGGTTCACGATCCACAGCCAGCCATGGCAATAGCCGCAAGCAAGCAAGCACACGATGCACGACCACTGCAGTTCCACTGTAACGCTTGCCATGCGAGTGGAGAACCGATCGACAATCCATGACGTGGAAAACGGAGAGAGGGGAATCACAAGCGCAGTTTCCAGCCACAAAACCAACTGCATGGGCTGTGTCAGACGGGTCTCGTATTCGTTGGACGGAAAGGAGGGGGCTCAAAGGAAGCGAATCTGTACCGACCGGGTTGCACAGTTGGTGGATCCTTCGCCAGCCAGGTGCAGTGTCAGATGTAAGCTTCTGAAAGCTCACACAATCCCGTACTAGATTGTTGCAAAACCTTTGGTGGATCACTGAACGAGCGAGCACCACGCAGTTTGAGGTTGGGTTTGAGTGAGGGTACTGTGTGTGTGCAGGCTCTTGGGCGGTGCACGTAGTGAAGTATCAACGGACTGTCATGATCTGTACACCACCCCAGTTAGTTCTTTTGCATCAAAAACTCTCGCTCTCTCTCACTCTCTCGCCAACAGTTCGTGCAGCTCCAAAGTGCCGCAACTTCGGCATCAGGTGGTTGTGAGTTTGCGGAGCTCTGCTCCAATGTCAAGCTTCGTCCGTTGCACACCTTAGTTTTGGAAGTCTTGTGAGGCCTATTGAGTATTTGTGAGATGCAAAGTTTTGTTGAGTTGAGGAAGATATTCTTAATTGCTATATAGATATAAATATATATATATATATATATATACAAGAAATTGTCTTTGCTTTAAGGGTAACATATTGAAGTCTTGGTGTCTTTAATGTTTTTATGAAGTAGAAAGTAATTGTTGTGGTGGTGTAAAATAGTTTTGGTGATTTTTTGCAAAGTGGACAAAACAACATAATTAGAGCCCATGGAATGTAGTTCACTGTATCAAATTTGGCTACTAGGTTTTTTTTTTTTTTTTTTTTTTCTCATTTATTGAGTTATATAAATAATGCAAAAATTAATTAATGATATTGATTAAATGATTATTAAACTTATAGATATATAGAGTCATGAAGAGATGGATGGTACTTTGAATGGATGCATATGAAGATATCATTATTATTATTATTATTATGATATATATATATATATATATATATATATATAAGATATTACTAATGATAGTAAAGTTTTTGCTACTCCTATTACAATCCACTATCCACTCAACATTTTTATTTAGTTAATTTTTCTCGAAAAAAAAAATGATAACACTCTTATTGTATAATTTAGCTATAAATATTTGATTTAAAAAATAAATAAATATGTTGAGTAGATGGCTGGTAGTGGTGGTAGTATTAAAAATTGGAGCGGCATCAGCAATGTCCTATATATATATATATATATATATACATATTTTGTATCTTAGTCCTTTAATATGCAAAAATAAAAAATATTTTTTATTTTATAGACAATAGATGCTAAAAAATATATCAGCACAAAAAAAATAATCAAGTAGTCAAATAAAATATATTTAACTTTGTAATTGATATAATCAAAATATAATATTTTTTTAGAAAAAAATTTAGAATATATATTTTTTTAAATTGAATATTTTAGCATCCAAATTAGCATATTTGTACAAATTAATTTTTATTCTTTTTTATTAATAATAAGTAGATATTCATATCTTTTATATATCTTTCATATATATTACTCGGATATATATATATATATATATATATTAATTTTTTTAATCTATTTTAAATTATATAATTACATTCATTGTTTTTATGATATATTCTTATTCTAAAGTGTGAGTTGATTTTTTTTATTATTTTTTTTTAATCTGATGTAAATGCTAAATTTTTGTTTTAAACTTTTTTTTATGTTAGCTTTATATAATAATTTCGATGTTCATAAAAGAATTAGAAAAACATCCTCAACACAAGTCTATTCTTCTTAAGAAATGGGACAAATTATACATAGAAAAAGACATAATTGGTCTTAGAGATGATAGAGTAATCAAATTGAACTTTACATTGGTGTGGTGTAATTTAGTTTTGATGGTTGTTCCATGTTTTTAGTATTCTTAGCTCGTCCTCCAAATATAAGGAGTTAAGTATTCGAAAGTATTTATTATACTATATTAATACATAGGATATACTTTTTTATCAAAAAATTTTAAAATAATAATAATAGTAATAATAATGTAATGTAGTCTATTAAATAATATTTTACTAATATAAATTTTATTAGAATAATTAAGTTAGTTAAGTGATAAAAAATATAATTTACAAGATTATCATTATTTTTCTATTTTTTAATAAAATGATACATAATCATGGATTGATTTGTAAGTATTTTGTCCTTATTGATGTAAAACAACTTTTTATTTTATTTTTATTATTTTTATCTTGCTTATGAAAATAAAAATAAAGTATTTTAAAAAAATATCATTATATGTACTTTTTTACATAAACTTTTAAGTTTTTTCTTTTTTCTTTTTTCGTATCTTTATAATTCTTTTTGCGACAAATAATGTAAGCAAATTCCTTGTTTGAATTTACACCAATAATTTTAATTTTCATCTACATACACAATTGATATATCTTCATAATTTTAAATTTTTTATTGCTTAGTAGAAGATCCTATGTATTCTATACAATTTTTTAAAAGTTCATTAAAACAAAAGAATTACACTATTTTGAAATAAATATAAAAATAAATTCCAACTTTATAAATAATCATATAATTTATTCTACATTAAGCTATAATAATAATTATTTTATTCTCCAAAACACAAGCATATATTGATCTATAATGTATCAAAGTACAAGCATGCAAAAAAACGTAGCACAAGCACAACATATACAAATTAATACAAAAGATTGTTTAAGGTAAGATACAACTTAATCTTCTTAGTTTTGCTTTTAGTTAGTCCAATTTTATCTCAACTACACATCTTAAACAATAATATAATTCTAACTACTACTTCACCATTGCCATAATATTATTTTCCAATAATACTAACCACCACTATGATACTAACCACCATCATAATCATAACATTATTAATCCTAGTTCCAACAAGTTCCTAATCACATCTCAAAAACCAATATATTGTAACCACTACTTTATCATTGCTATAATTTTAATTGCCATCAACCACACCTACCACCAAAATTCTAGCCACAGCAAACTTTGTCTATTATTTTGCTTATGAGCAACAAAACTTGTAGAAAACTTTAAGACTTTATTACACTAAATATTAAAATGCCACTCTAATGTTCAATAAGGCCATCTATAAAGCCAAACTATATTTGTACAATTTTATTACACAATCATACATTAATCTTTTGTTTACTCAAAATCAAGTCTTTAATTTGTTTATGATTCCTATAGTTTGAAGTTCTTACTATGCATATATAAAATCTTACATAATTACAAGCACAATAGAAACAAAATAATATTATGATTTACATCCAATATCAAATTATTTATAGGAATAAACTTAAAATTTAATATGCTCTATGGAAGGAAAAAAAAAAAAAAAAAAAAAAAAATTGTTAGAAACAACTTTTTTCTTTTTCTAGTTCACATCATGACTATGTTTTATCATTTTAAATGTATCATCTGAAGTAGACTTCTACTTCGAGAAAAAAGATTGAAAAACAATTAGATTACAAAGTGTGAGAACTTGATAGGCAGCAGCAACTGTACCCCACTTCTATTATCTACTCTTGATCCATCTCCAGCTTCCAATTATCTTTGTCAACTTCTTGAGGATGTGAACCAGGAACGAGTGGTAGTAGCATGCTCACCTGATGCAGATCTCGAGAATGTTACCACCGAGAAGCACAGCTGAGCAGCACAACTCCATCACCATCCAAGAGTATTCATGCCTCCTTTTCTCAAACCAGTTTTGTCTGAATAGATCCCGAAGATGTAGAGCTCGCGGAGATGTGGAGCTATTATTTCAGTAGACTCCGACGTGATAAACGGAGCACCCATAAAGGTTTACAGGTGTATTTTGCTGGCACCCCGTACGAAAATGAGGATCTACAAGTAGGAGATAGAAGCCTCCAGTGACTGGTAATAACTTGTAGTAGCCTGATTTTGGTCGTTATAGTTGGATGCGTCGGTTAGGCAAGTAGTGCAAACCAAACACTCAAATCGTAAAAACTCGAATCTGATCGACCGCCAAACTAAAGAAAGTAAAACTTCCAGAGGTAGAGGTATCCACTAAGCCCATGCCACTTGGTGGTACGTAACGTGGATCAGAAACGTATTCGGGAACTCAGTCAGAGATAATTAGGCGATTGGGAAGCGTCCTGTATCTGGAGAAGGTCCAACATCTCTCTTCCACCACCTCTTTACTTCCCAAGTTGTAATCAAATTACGTACAGAACGTAAATTCACAAATTGTCACTAGACAAACCGCAGCACATAAATGTGAATATATAGACCTAATGCAATACCGATAACCAATTGCACACCCCAATGAATTGACAACAGACGAAAGTATGCTACTAAATGCGATTTAGCAGGGAATATTTCGATCAAAGGTGCCATCCATTCACACACATTCCGAACGAGTATATCGATTCAATCTTATTCCCGTCAAACGGCGTCCATGCGATTAAGGAGCCACAAAGAGCCATACCCAGGAAACAACTCATTCTGTAAAAATCTAAGAGGTGTAAGTGATAGGTGCCAAAGTCTCTTGCAGGGGGGCAAGCTGCTCCTCAACACTCTTGGCAGCCTTAAGACGCAACTGGATAAGCTGCTTCTTGCGTTCATAGAACACCTTGGACTTGGCCTTCCTCTTCTCCTCAAGCTCCTGCACATCGTTATTACAGAGGATTCAAGGAAAACTATTACTAGCTACTAAATTGATTCTCGAAAAAGCTCCACAAAGTGGTGGTCATTCATAAAGTTTTGAATACTGGTATGAAAGATAAGTTAAATGAGTAAAATGCTTAAGGGAGGAAGCTTCAACAACTGCACCCACCTTGATCGTGTCGTAATGGTGCCACCCGACCTCCTCTGACAAACGGCCCAACAAACAGAATTTGTGTCCAGGTTGCAGTCTCAATACTCTGCAGCAGGGCAATAATGTCAACAATTAGCACGTCCTATTACACCATTCCACGATATCGTTGAAACAGATAAGAAACTCAGTGTCATCCCCCCGGACAAGCAAACCACAATCTGGGATAGGAAGACGGGTAACTCACTTCAGAGCGTCTGGAATAACCATCCTCTTCATCTTATCATAAGGTGCAGGGACACCTTCGAATGCTTTTAAGCGCTCAAGGGCAGCAGCGCCCCTCTTGGTCTTGTGTGGGATCATTCTGAATCATATTTGCACCCATTCATTCAAATTCAATCCCAGAATTAATATTTTATGGAAAGACCTGAAGACTGTGGTTTCAATTGTACCGCAATGTATGAGACAATATAATGCGTTTCTGAACAGCGTGTGCGCAGGTGATATCTCCACCGCTCAAGGTGAAGATTGCGTGGCGCCAGGTGGCACAGTTGCTCTGAGAATTTAACAATTAAAAAACATTGTAGACAGCCCAAAAAATAGGTCAAAGTTAAACAATAGGTAAGCGAAACGATTAAGTTCAAATGATAAACTGCATCGTTCAGAGGAATTTGAATGAAAAAATTATTATCAGTAAGTACATGTACGGATGACTCGAACCTAAATCACAGATTCCGGATATCGACTATGAGACACGTTTCCAGGTACTTCAAGAGACGCTTACAATACTTAAATCGAAAAGAAAATGCCGTCGGAGAACTACTTGCGAGGCGCAGTGCAGAGCTTAACTTATATAAAACAATCTGTAAAGTGGGGCATTCAAAGTAACTGAGTAACACGATACTAGGACTGAAGTTACTCATAAGGATGTACAACGAGTGTATTAACACTTGACGAAACGCAACTAACATTCAATCCATTAACCTCGAAAATGTTCTTTCAAGAGGATGGAGCTCCATCCTCGATCCGCTAACGTACATAAAAATTGATCATAACTTAAATTCTATATCAGAAACCATTAACCGATGTGTCCCGGGCCGATGGTGGAAAACCCTAAAGGAGATTCGTGTTAGCAAAACTAAAACCCTAAATAGGTTCCCTGAGTCTGTACCATTGCATGGACCATCGATTGAGGAGTCAATCGAAACTCACAAAGGGCTCGAATAAGATGAGAATCACAAGAAAATAATAATAATAATAATAATAATAATGCTCAGCGAGATTACCCACGGATGGTCCTCCATAAGATGCGTGCTGGGGACCGGAAATGAATGGGACCCTTGCTGGGCTTGGTGTTCATCCTCTTCCTCAAAAACCTAAGGTATTTCATCTTCTGCCTCACAAGGCCACCTGACAAGCAGATCTCCTCGCAGCGAACAACGACCTGATTCAACCCCAGGTGACTACATTAAATTCCGAGAATTCCACAGAAACGGAAAAAAAAAAAAAAAAAAAAAAAAAAAAACGGACAACATGTGAGAAGGCGCGCATTGCAGAGGCAGAGTACATACGATTTTCTGGCCATTGAGAAGCTCTTTCGCGAGAATGGAAGCCAATCGGCCGAGCATATGGTGACGAGCGTCAACCACCACCACCTTGGCACAGAGCCCTGAACCGGAAACCATTGTTGCGTTGCGGTGCTGCTGCTGCGACGAGAGCCGAATCGAGGATGGAGCTCTGACAGCGAAAGAGGTACTCCTGAGGTCTCAGCCGCCCCTTCAACCCCCACTCGCTCTCTCTCCCAAAATCCCACCCCCCCCCCCTCTAAGCCCTAATTCTCCGATCCTGTCACCCGGCCTGCTCCGAACCTACCACTAACCCGAACCTCTTTCGAGATGGGGTCTTAACTCAGCTGCTTGGCCACTATTCTCTCTTCCTCATAATCGTCTTGCCTCACAGAATCTGGCTTAAATTGCTGATATCTTGAGTGGGTTCTAAACTCTAAGTCTGATGTACCCAAAAACCCTACGCCAGTTCTTGCGTGTGCGTATTTGTCTTTTGAGTAGTGAGAGTTTCTATTACTTCGATTCAGACTGATGTCAATTTACTTGTGTAGGACGTCTCCGCGAAGAAAGTGTGTCGTTAGGGTTCGTTTCTTTGTCAAAACGTGTGTTGATTCAGTTTATTCCTTGTGTTGGAATGAAAATAATCTTTGTGTTTGTTTTCGTCGATTATCCTGAAGGAGTGTTATCAGAAATGCCGTAACTTGTAGTCTTTTGCACCTTGATCTGCCCTACTCGATGATGTGAAAGATGGTCCTGTTCATGTGGCCCACAATGCCAGGCGACTTCTCTGCAGTAACCATTCGAATATTCCGGTGAAATCTGAGTTTAAAGTGCAATCAATGGGATTTATATATTTTCGGCTGCCTGGCAGGAAATTAAGAGATAGTCTTTAAGGCCAGTGACGAATTGTGGCAAATTCACTATCAGTTGCAGTTTTGCGCTTTGACGCCAATAAACAGGACACCAGAATTTAATGGTCAAATATCAGCTGAATAAGTTCGGCAGAACTCTTAAAAATGAGAGCTGCACCAACTGTGTGTTGAGTGTGATAGCATACCTGTACGCATTTTGATGGAACACACTACGACGGACATACACGATAAACCGACAGTTAGAATCTACTGCAATTGTGTAGAAAGTAGACGAAGTTCGATATTATCCAATCCAGAGGAATAACATGCAACAACGACATGTGATTTCAATATTCCATGGCAAGCTGATCAATCTCCGCCGACATATTTCAGACTAAAAAGTCAGTAGATAAAGACCACAAGGTGTTCGCACATCAAAAGTCTGGTGTATTTAAGGATTTCTGATGCTAAAAAACCCCTAGCTGGATGCCAGTAACTGAGACATTAGCTAAGACGGATCCCAGGGTGCCGTTGAAGACATCCATTCTAACCAAGCAAGCAGCAATCAATACGTGTCTCTTATCACAAGGAGAACGTAAAACCGTGCATCTAGTCGCCCTTCTTCCTGAAAGAGCAACCTTCAGTCAATCGAGCCCTTCCTCCGGTTGGTTGGCAAAGCACTGTGGAGCAACTTCCGCAGAGCACCACCGTCTGAGAGTGGCTGAACACAGTTGTGCTGCGCAAAAAGAAGAAACAAGATCGTTACTTTTCGGTAGGCTCAGAATTCAACTCATAAAATAAATGGCCCATTGTAAATTATGAAAAAATAGAATTATACGTAAGCCAGGGAGATAGCTGATTATACGACTCAATTATTCAAAAGACAAATAAAAATAGTATAACGTATCTGAAAACCACTTACATGCTGAAGCATCCTTGACACTTCACATCCTGTATCAGCAACACAAGACGGACATAAGCATCAATTGGAGGATTCGTAACATATAAATGATTCAAATGAAGACATGCCGTGTGAGGAATGATAGCACTGTGCACGCGAGGTGCTGGGGTTATCAAGCAATCACAACAACGACGATCTCAAGCTACTATTCAATGAGCACCACCGCCTGCTAGTTATCAACGTACGAGAAGGACCGTGAAGCAAGAATAATCGTGTGAATACAACAGCATCCGGACAGACATTCGTGCATTCACCCTAACCACAACCACCTAACAGAAGTAGGTCACGGTAGTAAGAGGGAGACGGCCAACGGTATTCAAGAAATCATCAGAGAAACGACGAAACAAAAGTTAAATGCTCTAGATGGGCAAAAACAGGGCCCAGATTCTCTACACCACCGCAATAACCTGGTAATAAAAGAGAGGAGGTTACACAATCGCATACCATGAAGAAGGAGTTAGGCGACTGCACGAGACGTTTCAACTTATGCTTTCGCTTCTCCAGCTCCGCAGGGGGGTGCAAGAGGTCGATATCGTTGGAGAGCACCATGTTGCTTGATTTGTGTTTGAGCTGCGCCAAACTCCGGCAACAGTTCGCGCTTGAGCTTCGTTAACGCGCGGAGCAGCGAGGACGACGAAGCGAAAGAGGGCCCAAGTTGAGGCCGACGCAATGCTTTAGACCGCCCTAGCCGATTAGGGTTTTTCTCCCCCGGGTCCATCCGCTGCTTCAACGGGTCCTCCCCGGGTGCGGTCTCGAGATCCCCCCGGCTCTGAATCTACTTGAACCAAGATTCGAGGTCTCATTCCCAGATCTTGTATCAAAATTCGAGATATCTTTCTCATGTCTCGAACCAGCATTTGAGGTCTTTCCCAGATCTTGAACCTATAATTGAGGTCTTTCCCAGATCTTGAACCTATAATTGAGGTCTTTCCCAGATCTTGAACCTATAACTGAGGTCTTTCCCAGATCTTGAACCTATAACTGAGGTCTTTCCCAGATCTTGAACCTATAACTGAGGTCTTTCCCAGATCTTGAACCTATAATTGAGGTCTTTCCCAGATCTTGAACCTATAACTGAGGTCTCGTTCCCAAGTCTTGAATTGAGGTCGTGATGCATAGAAAGATCTATAATTCAACAAAAAATAAGTACATAAATACATTTTCCTTAAATGGAAACAAAATGATCTACTGATACATTCAAATTATCAATTAATTTATAATTAAATTTTATCCAGAGGTTATTAACAATTTGTGTAGTATTTAGTTTTTAATTATGTTTTTTTTAAAATAATTGACTAAATATTTGTGTACAAAAAGAAGAACTCTAACCATATAGTTTTACGAATATGTTTGTATCTTTTATTTCTTTTGATGTTTTGATGATGTATGTCATGAGAGTTGGATGTTTATTATTCAGATTTTTGTGGATAATTTTTTTATTACATCAAATTACTAACTAAGTAACTTTATGAATTCATATATAATTTATGAAAAATACAATTATAATTGATATTTTTCAAATTGAAAACATTAAAATCTTAATCAAATCACTGTTTAATTCATTTGTTTTTATCTCCCATCAACACATTCAAATAAATAATACACAAACTTATTATTTTAATGTTATAGTTTTGATGTAAATATTGTATTAGGATCCAATTAATTTATTATAAATCAAAGTTTTTAAATATCACCAAAAGGAAAAAATTTATGGGCAAAACAAATACATATAATTTATTCTAAAAATAATGATTTAAAGTTCTTATTTATAATAATTTATCTAAATACAATGACATTTTTATAAAATATTATAAGAATTTTTTGTTTTTTTTAGAAACCATGATTTGTGTTTCTTTAAATAATATATAATTATTTAAATTTTATATGAATATATATATATATACAAGAATGATAAAGTGATCCAAATTTTTACTAAAGCGATCTACTCTATCTTAACCATCATTGCACCCTTCTAGCCTCCATCACTAATTCTAACTATTGTTAAAGATGGTGTCATACTGTAATTCCTTATAGTATGTAAAAACTAGTTAGAATATATAATATGTTCATAGGTCTTGGTATATTTTAGAATGGTTAATAGATTAATTTAAAGAGAGTGGATATAAAAAAAATTATTTTGAGTTTTATCTATTTTGATTATAGCATTTAAAAAAATTATACGACCTAAATGTTTAGTATGAAGCTTTAAGAAGAGATTAGAGCCTAAAGAAGAAAATCTTAACTAGTAGGAGGCTTATTGGGAGGGATGAAAGCAAAGCATGGTTGGATGAAGGCAAGGAATGGAAATCTTCATTCGTATTGGTCAAAGGCCATGTCCAATGGGCTTCAAGGAGGCTGCCCAAGGCCTTATTAGGAATTAGGATTTCTCTTTTGAAGTTATTTGAGCTTTGGAGGCTAGGATCATTAAGTTTAGGTTTTTGGTTATGGATTGGGTACAAATTTTCTGTCATTTGGATTTTTTATGAAGGAGTTATTGGCGCTCAAAGTTGAGGTATCAATTTTGTACCTACTGTCACTCTTTAGAGCATAACATACATTTGTAGAGAGCAATAAAGGATTGGCGATTGGGATTGGAGAGAACACTTTTTCAACTATACTTTTTATATGCTTTTTGATGAATTTGGAATTTAGATGAAGAAGATATAGAGGGTTGAAGTCAAGACATCCAAATCAAAGATAGTAAGTAAGTATCATAAATATAGAATACTGATTGGAAATCTAAACAAGAAGCTCAAGAAGAATCGGCAAGAACTAGATTAATCACATGAATACAAGAACAACACTAGAGAAGTGAGCTAGAGCTCTAAGAGGTGTGTTGTCGAGACTGAGGATTCCCTCAATCTCGACTCCTATATATACTACAAGCTAGGAAGCTTCTCAAGTAGCTTCCACAAACTAGGAAGCTTCTCAAGCAGCTTCTACAAGCTAGAAAGCTTCTCAAGTAGCTTCTACAAATTACAAAGCTTCTCTAGAACCTTCTACAACTTCCTAGTATATGTCTTTGACATCACCCCCCTCTTAAGCTTCGAGGTCTCTGAGAAGCACTCCTATTGTAAGTCAGAACTAACGTAAAAAGTTGAAAAATTGTTGCATAGTGTCTACAATATACTCTAATTGTTGTTCGCACGACAAGTAGTTCATTGGTCTTTGTAACCAATGATAATATCTGTTGTTCTTGTTGCATTCAAGCTTTAGTAGACCAAAGCAATTGAATTAATAGAGATGTATTCGAACACAAAGAAAGACAAGTTATATGAATTGGGTCTGTTAGTATCACAATTGACTGTACTCTAACTATCTGAAATCAATTATTAAACTACAAAACACTGAGGCTTACTACTTCCATCTTAATTCAACCCATAATCTATTCTATAATTATCAATTCAATAATACTTCTCTCAATCACAGTTCTTCATAAGAAAATAATAAAGAAAACAAAGAGGTAGCACCAAGCTTACCTCAACTTACGACTCTCACAGTCTGGCTTTCGGCTTACGACTCTCATAGTCTGGCTCTCAGCTTACGACTCTCACAGTCTAGTCCTCGGCTTATTTTTTTCAACCTATTTATCCTATCAAAAAGATGATCTGTCGGCCAACATATTCCAAAGGTTATGACCTTTGGAATTCTTAACCATTTATTCTACTAACAACCTATTATTACCAACTAAACTACATAACTATCAGTCTAATTCTCAAGGTTGTCAATAACCAGCCAAGTACATACCACAAAGTTTATTTACCTATTCTACATAGCCCACTCCTAATTGTGCACCACCCTCGCAAATATTATTTAGCCTCAACTTATAAAGACGTAGCAGCGTTGGCTTACCACCCTTTGAATTGGTGACATTCTCCTCTTTACATCTTTGTCATCTGCCTCAGTGTTCGAGGGTTCTCCATCCAAACGCATCGTCAAATCTTCATTCAACAAATTCAATTTCCATACTTGAGACTCACGTCGGGCAATATGGTTGTCATGCTTCTCCAACATCTTCTGCCATTCTTTTGTCGGTTTCAAACATATCTCCGAAGATATTGTCACTGAAACTAACGTATTGGTTTGCACTAAACTATTGGCTTCTTTCGCTAATGCGGCTAGTTTAGTCTACAACATCGCAACCTCTACCTGCAACCATTCTTGCCGTTCTTTCTAATTGGTCTCCCTCCTTACTGTCTCAGATATCATGTTCGCCATCTTCTCCTTAACCACAAAAGAAGATACGATGCTTGTCAAGAGCCCCCTTCTTACTTCTTACTATGGTCCAATCAATTGGGTCGATTCTCCCTTTTATAGCAGAAAACATGTCCCAAGTGTATGGATAGTAAAGTTTAAGCAGATTAACATTGATTTGTGTCGTAAATTTAGTATCCATAAAATCTTTCAATTATATTGAACTATTTGAAAATCCTTCAATAACTCGGTATGGCCCATGCCATCAAACTTGAAATTTTTCTAAATTTTTTTTTTAAATCGACTATCATAAAGAAGTACCAAATCATTTAGCATAAAAGCCTTTGGTCTAAGCTTACTATCATAATAAGTCTTCCTTCGTTTTTGTATCGGTTCCATTATCATTAATGCATTGGGTCTAGTTTCATCAAATTTTTCTAATTCTTCTAAATGGTGCTGTAATGAATCCTGATCTCCCAATCTAGTATTTATAGTAATTTGTAAACTTTGGACTTCCAATTCAATAGATAATATTGCTTCCTGGCCATAAACCAATTGGAAAGGAGTAGCATTGGTAGTAACTTTATACACAGTACGGTATACCGATAAAGCTGCAAACAACTTAGTGTCCCAATTTGTTCCCACTCCTGAAACTGTTTTTGTTAAGATTTTACATAAAATTCCATTAGTCTTTTCCGTTTATCCATTGGTTGTAAGGTGATACGGTGTAGTCTTTCGATGTTTTATCTCGTATTTAGCCATGAGCACTTTGATTGTACTATTTATAAAATAAATTCTTCGATCACCAACAAATTTTCGTAGACAACCGAACTGTGTAATAATATTTTCATACAAAAAAGTTGCTACTATACTTGCACTATCAGTTTTCGTAGCTACTGCTTCAGCCCATTTTGTTACGTAATCCGTTGCTATCAATAAATACCATTTTTGTCCATTTCTCGAAGCTGGTACAATTGGTCCTACAAAATCAATTCTCCATTTTTCAAAAGGCGCTTGAGCCAGAATTGGTACCAATGGCATTGTTGAAGTTTCAGTAGGTTGACCCGTTCTCTGACATGGGTCACAATGACGGACGAATTGGTGGGTATCTGCAAACATTGTTGGCCACCAATAACCAACTTGTAAAGCTTTACAAGCTGTGCTTTCCACCACAACTATCCAAGTGGCAACCTTTCAATATAATATGCACTTCACTCTGATAAATACAGCGTCGCAAAACTCCATCCTTGCCTTGTTTATATAAAGCTTCACCAATCATCATATAAGGTGCACATTTTAATATTAAGTATTGTTTAAGCTTTTCATTGAAATTGGGTGAGAAGGTTTGAAATGTCAAGTATTGAATTATTTCATTATACTTCGGAGTAATTACATCTACCGCAAACAGTTTTGCATTAGGTAGTGCATCGTTAATGGCTTCATTATCCAATATATTGGATAACCGAGATAAATGGTC